AGCAGGACAAGCAGGGAATGAGACCTGCAGAGATGACTCCAGATTAGGCCATCACCCTGGGAGGTTGCTTGCTGAGCGCGAAGCCTCCACCTGTGAAACGAGGAACGTCGGTTCTCTGCACGGGGGAGTCCTGCTCCATGGCAGCCAAGGCTCGTTCCTTCTCCCTTCGGAGGAAAGAGAGGGGAAAAGAAGAACAAAAAGAGTGCAATGTGTTTTGCTGTAACGACGATATTTTCAAATGGAACAAGCCTGCATCCTCCAAAATTTCTTTGATGCCACTGCCGCAACAAGAGATCATTAAAAAATGTGTTGATTAAAGCCTGTTAGGCTAAACAGCCAAGACTAGGTGTCTGTTTGGATCTAATTACGTGCCTATGGATGGTTTGGGGAATTATTAAAAATTAAAAGTAAATGAGCTCTTGCAATGTTCCCCTCAAAAATGGTCAGCGCATCCCATTAGATCTAGAATAAGCATGAGCTTTGTGACTTCAGTTTTCTAATCACTGGTCTATTCTACCAAGGACACATTTGTTTTCAAACAAATCAGCTCCGCGCATCAAAGGCAAGATGGGGAGAAAGTTTTCCTTTCTTGAATGTTAATGAATTACTAGGGTTATCTGTCTTCAAATCCTAACAAAGTCCCACTGGTAATTACCCGGGCTCTCCTACTCGGCAAAAACCAACACTTCCTCTGAACGTGCATCCAGAGCCTCAGTGACATGCCTTCCCCGTGAGAGCCCGAATTGGGTGGCCCTAAAAGAACGGAGCAAGGTTTAGGTGTTCCCTCTTTGCAGAGTCTGCACGGCAAAACAATGCAAAGGAAAAGGCTTTTTAATTTACTGCAAAGCACCTCAAGGTTTCAGGAAGAGATCTGAAATCAAGCTGGAGATTATACGGTGCTCCTTTACTATAACAGCAGTGGATCTCTTGGCCCTTCACAGGAGAGACCAGCATGCACTGAAACGGAGGCACAAATTGGTGAGGGCTTTCACATCTCCTCTTTGCCCTGCTGCGTACTCCAACCCTGTCTCTTGACTCCTAGGTTGGTCTCCCAGTGAAAGCAATGGCTTCCTGCAGCTTGTATTCTCCACTCCACCCCCCATTACTCTGTGGAAACAGAGGAACGAGCTCAGTGAAACCCTTTAACACTGCAAGTAATGGTTTCTTGTTGCACGGTTAATTCATAAAGAAGCGGCCAAATCAGCAAAGATGGGCTTAGATGCACGTGAATATGCACAAGCGCTTTTCAGTGATTATAATGAAGTTGATGCAGGGCTAATGAAAGAAGGCAGGCTGACGGCACCGAGGACTGATACGCTTCACTTAGACAGATAACACCCCCTTGCCACTGTACTTCAATCCAAACTCTGAGCCAAGTCCAGACTCCACATTCATTCTAGCCCCCAGCTGAGACTCCCAGCAAGGGGGCCAATTAGGGCGGTATGCTTTTTGCTGCTGATTTCTGTGCACTAGGTACTGTTTCAAACAGCATCACTGTACTGCTGTCAGGTGGCAGTGCTTTCACTCAGTACCAACTGCAGTCAAAGCAGCTGTTCATACAGGGCAGGGCTGCAGGGTCACACTAGTGGCACGGAGGTAACTAAAAGCGCCATCTTCCATTACTGATCTGCTGAGATCGAGCTAGGGGTACAGTGATGGAGACGAGCAGGAGAGGTAACAGAGCAGAAAAGCAATGTGTAGCAGGAAGGGGGCATTTGGGGAAGGCTGTCAGGCAGAGAATAAGGGAAGGGGGTTCAATGCAAGCTCACCCTGTGCCGCTCTGTCATCCGTCATTGCCCCTTGGACATCTAGAAAAAGTTGCATCACTTCAATGCAAGACTTTCAATCCCTGAACAGGCCGGTCTCATGCAAGTCAATAGCTGCCAGGAGAGGGCACCTCTTGAAGACGCTCCAGAGAGCTTACCCGAGTAGTCAGCAATGATAATGCTACTGCAGCTACGGGATCAGATCCTCTTTTATCAACCACCGCATTTATATCAGACACGCTGCTGTCACTTCCTGCAGCAGCACTGATGCATTAGCGGTTAATAATTATTTGGCACTTAGAAGTACCAGAGATGATGAGGATCGCGTGAACTTGATCGATTAAATCTGGAGCAACTGTGACAGTGCTGAAAGGCCAGGTTGTGGCTTTAAGGCATGATGTGGCATTAGGGAAAAGGAAAAACTGCAATGCCCATAGGGGTATTACCAAGCAGAGAGGACCCTGTAGACACAGGCTACAAGGTGAGTTAGAGATGCCCAAGGGGAAGGGCCCTGGTGTACAGCTGTCTGATGCAGGAAGCAAAAGAGGGCCAAAATAGTTGAGGGTCAGGGTTGCTACCAAAGAACAGATCATTTGCTCAAGGAACTGCAATTGCACCTGGCTCCAGCAGGCCTGATGGACCATTATACAAAGGGTATAAATTTAGCATTAACTCTTTAACTTGCATGGTAGGTTTGGCATCAACTGACCAAATTCCACATCACAGCACGTGTCTGCACATGTACAATTGCTCCACGTCACATTTTCTGTTTCTTACAAATAGCTATGTCCTGAGCAATGTGTTTTTTCAGTCAAGTTGTAACCGGAAATTAAATCCAGGAAAAATTATCCAGCAAAACATGACTAGGTTTCTCTTCTTCTAATGCAGGGAAGGAAACATGAAACCAGGGTCCACAATGCAAACATTAAAGCTGTTGTCAAGAGACACTTAGCTGCTGGAAATGGACTCAGGATATTATGGTAGCCTCACATATTGATCCTAAAACTCCAGGAAGGCCATTAGCAGTGAACAATTGTTGCTAATTCCAAACATCAAGGCAGCATTATGCAATTTGCAGATGAACAAAGGTCACTGTTTATCACTGACTACTTTGGTAATTCAGTCTTCAGAGCTGTTTGCTTTCTGAAATATGATTAAGGCAGAGATGGATGCCATCTATTTAGAATTACGCTCAGCAGAAAGGAAAAATAGGGTTCTTGGTGCACGACACAGGGTGGCAGGCTGGGGAGAAGAGCGCTGGCTAGAAGACGGGCTCATGCAGAAGACACCTAACTGTGACTGAAGTCGTCCAACTGCAGAAATGCACAATCTCCTTGCAACTTCTCCTTAGTGGGGAAAATCAAATCCCAACATTTCCAAATGGAGCTGGTAATTTGCGGGGGAGAATCAAGCATGGGGCCTAATTCTCCATATGCACCTCTGTAAATTAGGCCCCTTTAAGGTATCTCAACTTGAACCACTTTTGAAAATGGAGGGCAGCAGCTGCGCACTGAGACGGAGGCCCATTCTGCACTACTAAGTTTTTACTGGCATGGCTATGCCTGTAGGTCAGCGCTGCCAGAAAACCCCTGACATAAAAATAGGCAGGCTGATAGAAGAGGGCTTTTGTCTGCTTATCTTTCTCAGGAGACGGCATAGCTAAGTTAGTAGAAAAAACGAGTGCATCACCATGACGCATGCTTTGCCGGCACAGCAAAAGCCAGTCATGCAGACCAACCCTGCGAAGGGAGATTACCTACCAAACTGCCCAAAACATGCCCCTCAAACACCAGAAACAACCAGAAAGGATCCCTGATGCAAGTACAGCAGGGTGAGGAGTCTGGCAATGCCAGAAGAAAGACACCTTGCTGTTGCAGCAATGGGAGGTGACGGGAAGAAGTGCAGGAGATTTGTCTTCTCTTCTGTAATGGTAAGCAATGAATATCTGGGGTCAGGAGGAAATCCTCATGCAGCCCCAACTACTACGGCTTTTCCCATGTCTCTGTGGCACCTAGGGATACCTCATCCTAACGCTATGAGCAAGGAGCTGCCGCCTTTAGAAAGAACGACAGCCTTCACCAGGTTGCTCTTGCAGCTTATTACATCTTATAAAATGCCTTGAGTCGCGCTCAGGAAACCTTCACCAGATGCCCATGAGATGGCCAGTTACTCCTCTGTGTCCAAACCCCTACCAGAGAGAAACACCTGAATGGCATCAATAACCCAGACAAGTTTAACTGGGCTTCAGAAGGGAACAAGACACAGAGGCACCGCTACTACGTGACCATGGACCACGGTAGGTAGCTAAACCCAGCCAAGACGAACGTAAAGTGACACGAAGGAAACAAAGGGAGCTATCGTGAAGAATTAGCACAGACAGTGAAACAACCCTCCATAATGAACATCCTTGCTCAGGGTACAGTGGTTAGGCAGGGTCTCAGCATGCAGGGATATGAAGAGTGATGGATGGGCAGACACAGCAATCATTATTCCTTACTTGGCCTGTTGCTCCTTGCGCTTCTGAGTGAGGTATTTCTTCTTGACGTCCAGAAGCTCGTTGGCAAGTCTCTCGATTTCGTATTTGTACTCTTGACTTTGGGACTCGTACATGTTCAGTTCAGAAGACAAAACCTAGCAAACCGAAAGCAAAAAAGTAAGGACGGAAGGTGCTAGCGTCACAAAGGGGTATCTTATTTCTTTCCCTTTTCTCACATCTGATAAAACCTCTGCCCCTCTAAAGACAAGTTACCGAGCTAAGGCTGTGCCCTGGGGGTAGAGTAAAATGTCTGATTCGCACTTTATGTTTCTTTTGAGTGGTCGGTTTTCTGGGACCCAAAAGGAGGGGCATAAAAACGGAAAAGGTAGGAGATCTTCAAATGGCATGAGATTCATGTCTGTAGCCCAAGTAATTTTTCATTGCATTGCAGGAACTTGATTGTGCATTTTATATAAATAATTTATAGCAGTGGAAGTAAAGCAGTAATGGCAGATTTGTGCGGTTTGGAGAAAAACTGTGGTTCCTAATATGAAAGTTCGGCAATATAATGAGAGGGAGTTGAGAGGGATGATGTATAACACGAGCTGGACATTTCCAAGTACCTTAACCGCTTGCAATTAGAGTTGTGCTTTCTCTCTTTCCCAGCCAGAAATGGGCTGGCTGGAGTCTAGACTTCCAAAGGCTAGAGCAAATGTTACTCTGGAATTTTTCCACCATCCGCCTTTATCATTACATCATGAATGTTTCTAGCTGAAGGGCAATTTCAGACATATCTGAAAAGTTATCCCATTCCAGGAGCACTAATGGACCGCTCCTGTGCACCCTTTTGAGACCTTCAGAAGCACTGGTTTTCAGTCTGACATTATGAGTTCCCCCTCGTTAGAAGCAAATAAGAATTGCATAATGTGCGTTGTCCGTGAAGACCCGTTGTATGACAGAAAGCCGTTAAATGCACATAGGTAACATGGCATCGAGCGTTACATGCAAGGGCACGAATTCACTGCCTTTCAAATCCATTGACCTTAGTAGGAGTGGGTCGAGTCCGTGGTGCTCTCCCGCTTCAGGAAGAAAAACAGCTGGGCCTGGCACAACAAAATGGTGTGCGTGCCTGTTTGCTGCAGCACGTTCTGCATGAGGAAGTGAACACCTACACGGCAGCAATTTTGCACATTAAAGACCAATGGAAACCCTGTGTAAGACTCTGAACCACCTTCAGTCTAGCAGAAGTGCTACTTCTATTTTACATTTCCTGCATTTCTTCCCCCCTTCTTCTGTACAACTAAGAAGATAGGCCTGTTATGCATATCTAAGAAGATATGCATAACAGGCTCTTTGTTTCTTGAGGGTCCATCTGCGCTTGCAGTTTTCACACATACGTACTTTGTGCAGACATAATTGTGATGCAGTGAACGGGAGACGACTTCGGCGGAGAAAGGCACTAGAGGAGTGACTGAACTCTTGAGGAGATGGCTTCGGCTTTCACGCAATTAAGAACAATGGAAAAGCAAGGCAGGATATATAAAGAGAATTGCTTCTGCACATCATGCTTGCACAGTTTTCCATGATATATTAGCGGCTCTTCAGAACCCAGAAATCCTGCCTTTTCATGACAAGGGGTTAAGACAGATTACTCTTGTCAGCCCCATAATAAGATGCAAAACTAATGTACATGATGTATGTACTGCGAGAGAAACATCAAGGATTTAGGAATAGCTTCTCCATCTATTTCCTCTAGCTTGGTAAAAGGAGACCGGAAGTGTTTTGGACTTGCTTATTAGAATATCTTGATTGTTTAGAAAAAAAAACAGATTTAAGCCTAATGCCAAATTCTGGTGGCATCTCAGCACGTCTATGCAGAATGAGCATTAGGAATAATAGCAGACATTAATACTGTAATAGGACTTAAATTTTTTCCCCTCATTTGATGAAGCAAATAATCATAATGTTACCAAAAAAATTCTTCTCAGACTGACTGGGAAGTTCACAGCCAGTACAAGAGCTTCTGCATGTCTATCCTGGCAGAGAGACTCAAAATCACATTTTAGACCTTCCTATAGGAAGCAGAGTTAATGCTTGTGTACTAGCATTATACTACCTGCTGTTGCAGAATGGAGAAATGGCATGTAATGGGATCCTGACTACCGACAGCTACCAAAAACATCTGAATAAAGTACCAAGGGCAGTAGTGTCTTCTCTGTCCTGTGAGGTCTCCAAATCAGGATGGGATGCCTTTCTGGAATATCGGATTCAGAAAAAAAAACAAACCCACACGCTACTGGGCTCAATACATCGTAAAATTGGATTAAATATGATGATGATCTAATGGTCACTCTGGCCTCAACTATCTGTGGATCTGTGAAAAAGAGGTCAGCTTCTGAACCCGACCTTTGTACCTACCCACCTCCCTACCCACCCTTTGAGTGCAGACCAATAAGTACACTCACATGCCAGTGGAGTTGGCAAGTACTTACAGAGTAAGCTATTTCTAGACTTTATTATAAGATGCTACTCCAAAAGAGAGGGCCTATCTATTGATCTGTCCCCAAAGGCTAATAGAAGCAGGTGAGTTACAGATGGTCCTTGGGAGAGGTGCTGCTTGAATGATGGGCCATTTTTTGTTAATAGGGACATTTTAATTCTTCATCTCTGACTATAAACATAATAGCTCCCAGCTGCCCTCTTCAGCTCTTCTGTTGACTAATCAAGCCATGTCTATCCAGTTCTTTTCATCTCTCCGAGTAAATGAGTATTTTCAGCTTTTTGTCATTATTGTTCTTTGAAGTCCTCACATCAAGATCTTTTTGACCCTGCGGTAGGCAGAGTTTTGACTCTTGGGCCAACGTTGCACAAAGGGAAGAAATGAACTGTCCTTTTTTTTTGAATAAATCAGAAATATTGGTTCAGGAGAAGGCTTCTCAAGGAAGAAAAGCTGGCACATGCCTCACAAGTATGTCGCCCTTTGGCATTGCAGCTGCATGGAAAGCTTTCAGGAAAGTAACATCACAGGAAAGGGAAGGTATCTTTTGAAACCAAGGTATAGTTTAGAAAGAGTCTTGATTTTAACAGGTTGCTCTTCTTGCCCTTACACTATTCTTTCTAATCTTTTCTCTCTTGCTCTCCACTTTATTGGATTGCAATATTATTGCCTGTGCCGCCAGGAAGCACTGAAAGCACTATGAAGAATGACAGTTTTCTTCAGGCCCCCCTGTAAGTCCTGCTGGCTTCTGCAGGTGGGTTTTTGCTCCCCGAGGAGCTCCTCAGCCAGTCCTCCCAAATAAAACAGAGTCTTTTCAGCAAAACAAGCACCCCAAATTCTGCCGTCCTGTCTCTGACACAGGGAGGGGAACCCCTTTTGCTCTGACCTCAGCACAGCAGCTCCCCCTCCATGCAGCAAGAGGTTTAATCCACCGCCTGCTTCCTTCTCTGTTGAAAACCACTCCCTCCCAGTTTGTTCCCTGTCTGCTCTCTCCTCTGGTGTTTTAGGCTCCCAGTGAGACACTCCCTCATTATCCAAATGCCCCACAGCTGGGCTTCCTCGATAGGGATGACTGTTCCCTCTCAAAGGGACAGACTACCCTGTTACACCCCCATATAATGAAGCATGTTTAACTCTTTGCAACTCCACTTAGGTATCAGGCCATTTAAACACATACCTTTTCATCCCACGATGCACCGGAGATCCAGTGGGATTAATCGAGTCTGCACACAAGCTGATGTCCGCTGCGCTGTGTCGCGTGCAGTTGTATAAGCAGCAAAATGCACATCAACGTGCAGAAAATGGTGGTGGTGCGCTTTTAAACTAAAACACCTTCTATGTGCTTGAGTTCAAAAGCGCACCACTGACATTTTCTTCATGCTGATGCACATTTCGCCACTTATACAACTGCACGAACCACAGAGCCAGGCACTTCCAAAAGTACCCGGCGCCGCAGTGCATGCATGTGTCCAAATGCCCTAAAGCCCAGGTCCTTGTCACCAAAACACTGCTGAGGTGGCCCAACTTCCCTTTGCTAAGCAATGATGTAGTCCTACAAGCATGGTGGCCTTTCAGCTAGACTTCCTTTTCCTATTAATCCCATGGAGGGCGTTTCTTACTTTAAGTTGCTTGGTCTTCTCACGGAGAGTGTGCCGATAGAGCTGCAGCTGCTCTGCTGCTTCAGGCCCAGGCTGCCGGGCCAGGATGTGCTTCAGTTCCACGTATAGTTTCTCCTTTTCCTACAAGACAAGGTAAACAGGAGAAAAAACACTGCATACGTGCTCGTACTTGTAGCTGTAGTAGCGCCAGTGCAACCTGAACTGACATCAGTCTACCCAAAAGTGAAGCAGGCAGATATTTGCAGAAACAAATCTGCCTGTGTATCGGTCTCTGATTCGCCAGCCATAATGTATTTGAAGTTGCTGTGATAGCAATGGGAGAGCTCATTAAGAAAAATATCCAGCTAGGTCATGCCAAGAAATAAATATTCTTAAACACCGTTGTCAGCAAACAAGCTATGCCACAGAGAGGATAAAACAGCCAATAGAAACGTAGCTCGGGGTGAGAGGAAACTAATTTTGAGAAAATGTGTTTATTGTAGTCCTCCTTCTCATACCCCCTACTCTGCGATCTACTAAGTATTGTAGCTCCGCCCACCAAGAAGTAAGCAGTCGATGGAGCCGTCAGCCAAGGCTCGTATAAAAGAGCCCGCCTGCCTACATATTCTTCCAAAATAATCCTGCAGAGCAAAGAAACATATAAGAAAGCAACAGGCACTCCTACCTGAGTGAGCCCTTGAGGCGCTGTGGGAGGAAAGGGAGATTAGAAACAGCCGTGACAAGCGTAACAACCAGTGAGTATTTTTTCCTCGCCGTACGTGCCCTCTTCCCCACGTTACGACAGGACCCGTGGGGTAAATGGGGGTAACAAGCATACGATCCCAGAGAAAGGCCACACCTTGCAGTTGCCTTTGGCCTTCCTTATTGAAAGGCTGCTTCCAACTAAGTTTTGAGGTTGTAAATTTACGTTCTCTGAGGTCATAAATGTATTAGGCAATACAGGGCTTTGAACATTTCGGTATGTACCTCAGCTCTTTCAGGCAATGATTTTTCATTATTTCACCAAATAATAATGCCAGGAAAGATGACCCGGGGACACTAGCTTGTTACACAACGAGACAGAATGATACCTCTTCTGTATCTTGTGTGTTGGAGCAGTTTATTTTTTGCCTGGTGCTCCTAATTCTCATGAATCTATTGTAAGCCTTATAAGTCTGTTTTTCCCCCTAAAATCCCAGCTAACTGGCATTTGTGTTTCTAAGAGAATCTCAGCTTTCATTTGAAAAATAATAAGTTTCTAATTTTGGGGCTTTTAGAGAAAAGCTTGAGAGTGTGACCTGAATGCATGCAAGCGACTGGAAAAAATCAAAATGCGAGTAAAAAAAGAGACGCAAAACTTTGGTTTTTTAAAAAAGAGAAAAAAGTCCCAGGATTTTTAAGCCAATCTTAGCGGGAGGTAGGGCAGGGAGACGATGCAGCTCATGATTTCTGAACAGCTGGAATTGGCAATGGTGCTTATTAAATGAAACTTCAGAGTCAAGTTTGTGTCTTTGGAAGCAAAAGAAGAACAGGCGAGACAGGCATGTGCCAAGCGGCTATACTGGTCTGACGATCCACTGTGTCAGAAGTAACCAGGATGTCAAGCAGAGCTGGGGAACCAGGGAAGCAAAGGCCAGGGCTGTGAGTTAAGGTCCTATAAGACATGGGGGGACAGAGAGTATCAGGGTGGAAGCAGACTTTGCCTTTGTGCCACCATCGAAAATTTTATGGCAGCACAAAGGCCACCCGTACTCCTCGTCGTGCCACAAATGCCCAAAATTTGTATCTGTGGCATAGATGGTATTAATATGATCTGCTTTTTGTGCTTTTAGGCTTATGACAGGAGAGCACAATCAGTGCCGAACTGCCCATGCTCTCCAGCCACCCTGGGCAGGCATGCCTGGGACTTCAGGGGCCTGATCCCTCATGCCTCAGGAACAGGATTTCCCAGGGTGTCGAGGATCAGGCCCCTGAAGCCCCGGGAGCACCTGCCTGGGTTCCCCCATTTGGGATCCCATGGGGATTTGTCAGCACTCCGGTGAGACACCAATCAGCTGATTGATGGCCCCCGCCCCGGGACCACGCTGCAGTGCCCACCTCAATCCAGTGCAATCCCCAGGGTGCATTTTTGCAAGCAGGGAAAGCCAGGGTTTCCCCGCTTGCTCACCCCAGAGATTGCCAGGGCACGTCTCTATAAACATGGAACACACTGCCCATTATCCCATAAGATCAACGGGCGGTGTGCGTTTTGCTCAACGAAGTGGATCAGCTGTGCTGAAGCACATCCCAGCACAGCTGATCCACTTCGTTTGGCTGAGTCTCTTCCTACCTTTAGTGGCTTTAAAATGAGCCTGTCCTTTGCCACGTTCTCTAACCACCCGCCTCCATAAAGCCCTCCATAAAGAAGAAATGGGGAAAAAAAAGAGGAAGAATTCTCTTAAAATCATAGAAAATCAGGAAGTTATCTAGTCCAACCCCCTGCTCAAAGCAGGATTGTCCCAACCAAGGTTTTGTCTAGCTGGGCCTTAAAAACCTCCAAGGATGGAGATTTCACCACCTCTTTGGGTAGCTTGTTCCAGTGCGTTACTACCCTCCTTGTAAGAAAGTTTTTCCCCCAATATTTAACCTAAACTTTCCTTACTGCAACTTGAGCCCGTTGCTCCTTATTCTGTCACCTGCCGCCACTGAGAACATCCTCTTTTGAACCATCCTTCAGGTAGCTGAAGACTGCTATTAAATCCCCTAGGTCTATGTGTCACCTGTGGTTACCTTCTCATCTTCTTTTACTGGGTTTCTCCTATAGCTAATGGGGCCAGTGGCACAGGTAAGAGGGATCTGCATTCCTCTAGCACATGCCGGACAGTGGCCTCAAACCTGGGGCCTCAGCCTGTCCGCTGATCCCAGTCCACCACCTTCCCAGCTGAGCATGCAGGCCAGACACAGGTGGTCAGATTCCTCTATGTAGACCTAGGCACCTGCCCACTGCTTGCCACCAGCTGACTTCACCGTTTCCATTATAAACCCTTCACCTAGAAGAGGAAGCTTTGAAGATGGAGCTGTAACGCTCACCGCTGCCAAACAACAACTTGTAATCGCTGCACGACCCTCTCCAGTCGTCATTCAGATTGGTACAGGCGATAAGCAGGGTTTTCAAAAGTGACTCGTCGTGCCAAATTTTGCCAACAGGTCTAATTATGAGAGCTTAGCTCTTTCTAGAAACCAGGCCCTTTAAGGTATCATGAGTTTGGCAGCTGAAATCAAAAGCTGCTTCTGAAAATCATGACCTTCCTTAGATGTTGAATCCTTGACGTGGAGGAAACCCCTTGGGAAGTGATTTTCTCAAAGAACAACTTTTGTGCAATCACCGTCTTTGGTGCGATATGAATTATTCTCCATGATAGGCGTGTGATGCTTCTATCTCAGTGGAGTTTCGCTGTGACGCTAAAAGGGGCTTCTACTATTTTTCCTCCTGTGGCTTCAGACTTGTTGCAAGCTTTAAAAAGCTGCCTTGTCAAAATCTGGCTGGTTAGTATTCACGTTCCATCCCTGAATGTATGGCAGACTTGTATTTTGGGAGAGAGCACTGGTAATTTGGATAAATATGCAGCCGTTGATGGATTGGAGGTCTTATGTGCAATTGTTTTCCAATTTACTTCTCTCCAAACCCTCTACAAGGGCCAACCGAGCTCTTCAAACATTGTGCAATGGTGTGTATAATAACCCCATTTACAGACAAAGAGTACAATTCTATTATAAAGAGACTCTATCTTATGCAACAGAGACTCGTTAGCTGTCCAATGTATATTGTCTCCATAATCCAGAAGAGGCAGAACCAGCTGCCATGTAATGCACATCCTGTCCTTCCTTGCTAAGCACTGTCCATTTCTTTTAAATCTACTCAATTAATTTGTCACTGGGTTAGGAGCACCGTATGTCAGCAAAACATCAAAAGAAAATCCTGGATACTTAATTCTTTCCTCATCAGCAGAAGTTTGTATGCGCAGGTTGGCATGTCTAAATTCTCTGACATTTTAGCCCAGGATGCAAAAAACGGTGACTTGCGTAGCACGTCTTACAGTATTTACCTTTCAATTTACTTTAGAAACAGCTGCAAGCAGAATAAATTTAAGTCAGTTACAAGGTACATCTGATATTATCAGCAAAAACACATTGCTCAAACCAGGTAGAGTCGTCTCCACACATACAAATTTGGGAATGCCTAACAAAAAACGAAGCAGCGGAAAAAAACTGAGGAAGGACCTTGACTTTCACAATGTGCAGGAAGGGCGGATGGATGAATGGATGGTGGAATATGCAGTGTAGACACCTAGGCAATATCACGTACAGATATGGGCAATATCACATACAATATAGGCAATGTCATGTACAGATCCAGCCACGGGCTGGTACACTGACACTGTGCAGTTCCCAGCTAGTGGTGGCTGCTACGCTGACAAATAACACTCCCAAAATAGCACTCCCAAATAGCACTCCTTGTACCATTGCGTTAGCTAGACTTTTACCGCAGAAAGCAGCTCCACACGGCTCTTTGAACAGTAGATGACGTTCATACCTAACTCTTGGTCCCTTCGTAGGCTTCACTATGAAACCTGGTGGGAACGAATTCAAAAAATCATGGAGAAGTCGGGCTGGAAGGGACATCCAGAGGTCATCACGTCCAACCCCCTGCCTAAGACAGGATCGGCCATCCAACTACAGGAAGGCCAGGGGTGCAACGCATGCGGTGCTGCAGCTAACATCTGAAGCAGCAGCTAAGGACTCCTCACCTCCCTTGTACGTGGAGCTCAAGCCATTGGACCCATAAAAGCACAGACGTAGTAGCCCTCTCCTAGTCTTTTGCCAGCCTACTGCTCTGTGCCACTGAACAGTCATCATATGCATTGCTCCAGGTGCAAAGATGTAGGGAACGTCTACGCCACGACAGCTTGGTGGCCAGGTCAGGACAGCCACGTGCATGCCCTACCCGCCTACTCCTCTGCCCCAGCTCCAGACACAGAAATGTACCCAGGAAGATGCTCCATGGTCATCCCCACTGAATAGCCAGACAGGACTCAACAACGCATCAGATTTGGACCGGACGATTGGGGGCATGCTCTGAGCCGTGTCAGCTGGGGTTTGCT